TTCAGCTTGTATATCTGTTCAAGGCAGGACGCAAAGTTTTGGTTCCCTTTTTCAACTGTTCAGAAACTATATGTCGTTTATAAGCTATTGCAATATTTAAATTAATAAATAAGAAACGCCCTCGGTCTGTAGCCCTTGGCTGAAAAGTCCATTTGCGCAACTTTTCAGATAACGCGCTTTGAGTGGCGCCACCGTCGTTGTAATCAAACTGTAGTCGTTAGTTTTAAAACATTTTTTTTAAATATGTTTAATGGTGATTGAACCATGAAATTTTTAATGTAGCGTAATTTTAACCTAAATCAACTGAAAATAATCCTAGAACCTAGAGTCAAGTATTCCTAGGAGGCACGGACACATACGCGCGCGCGCTTGCAAACACAGCAGACACACACACACACACACACACACGACACACACACAGCACACACGACACACACACAACAACACACACACACATAAACACACACATACACACACACACACACACACACACACACACACACACACACACACCACACACACAAACACACCGGACACACACCACACACACACACACACACAACACACAAACACATATATATATATATATAGTATATATTATATATAGTCCTTTTAAATCTAATTGATGTGGAGTCGCTGTCCGCGTGCGCGCTCCGGACTGTCGTCAATGTAGATCGACTTCATTCAGTATATAGATCGGAACAGTGATTATCAGGTTTAACGCTAATTTGATGGAGCGTGGAAACAAGCAAACCATGACACTGCTCGCGCGAAAACGTCGGCTCGCTGACTTTGACGTACCGCCGTAGTTGAGGCCTGTCACGTGGCTACCATGCCAACGCGTGCGCTCTTACAATATAGTAACTACGCCATGAGGTATCTGGCCAGTATGTCTGCGCCTCGATCCGGTGCACAACCACAGCTCTGTCACACACACACACACACACACACACCACACATAACACTAACACAACAGCATACCGCATACGATAGCAGCGACATTGGCATCAGTCCTTCGGGAAGCGCCTGGTAGAGTTGCCCCACCCCTCCGCTGGACCGCCTTCCCTCCGTCCGCGCGCCGACGCGTAGAGTTTTTTTCCCGCGCCGCACGAGTCGTTGCCCAGGGCGTCCGCCGCCAGAGCAGACGATACGCAGTGCGAGTGAAACATGAGGCTGACGGCTGCTGTGCTGGCTAGCTCGCGCACCACCGGTCCTGCTAAGCCGACGTATGTGCATCTAAGCTCGCAAGTGGCCGGTAAGATCACGAACGATGTAGATATAGAGAGAGGAGAGCGATAGAGGGGAGAGGAGAGAAAGGGGGGGGGAGAGCAGATAGCGGAGAAAGAGAGAGAAGAGAGAGAGAATGAGAGAGAGAGAGAGAAAGAGAGACGAGAGAGAGAAGAGAGAGAGAGAGAAGAGAGAGAGAGAGAGAGATTGAGAGAGAGAGAGAGAGAAGAGAGAGAGAGAGAGGGGGGGAAGAGATAGCGAGAAGAAGAGCCAGAGAAGAAGAGAGAATGCAGAGGAGAGAGAGAAAGAGAGAGAGAGAGAGTAGAGAGAGAGAGAGAGAGAGAGAGAGAGAATGAGAGAGAGAAGAATGAGAGGAGAGAGAGAGAGAGAGAGAAGAGAGAGCTAGCGAGAAAGAGAAGAGAGAGAGAGGAGAGAGAGAGAGAGGAGAGAGAGAGAGAGAATGAGAGAGAGGAGAGAGAAAAGAGAGAGAAGAGAGGAGGAGAGAGAGAGAAGAGAGATGAGAGATATATGCGAGAAAAGAAAGAGAGAGAAGAGAGAGAGAGAGAGAGAGAGAGAGAGAGAGAGAGAGAGAGCGAGAGCGAGAGAGAGAATGAGATCGTAAGTTGTTTCGCATTTAGTAGGTTATTCCTTCGTATTGTATCGTATCGTATCGTATCGTAGAGACATCATTGTATTCTTCTTCTTCTCTTTTTATTCTTCATATTATTATTATTTTCTACTTTTTCTTCTTTTTCTATCTTTTCTTTCTTATATTATTTTTATCTGTAATATTATTTTTATTCTCCCTCGTTCACTTCCTCTTACTCTTCCTCTTCATCATCCTCCGCCTCCTTCGCCCCCATATCGTCTTCTCCTTGTGTATTATTCTGTAGTTATTGCTTAATTAGCATATAACGGGAGCCTACTTAAGCTGATAATAAGCGTAACTTAAGCTAACCTCTCTTAGTAAAGAGTCTGGGTTGTTTTGGCAGTGTGCTATTTGAATAAGATCGGCCATGAAATCATGAACTTTAAGCTTTCATCCTGTTCGGAGTAAGCGAGGTGCTAACACTGCATCTAACTCGCAATTCGATGACAGCGCAAACGACATAAGTAGTCTCAAAAAATAGTTTTATGAAGTGAATGTTTGTGATAAGTTTCCTCAAAATAAATATCACAAAACATGGCGACAGATATTTTTTCGCACGCGCCATGTTTTGAGAAGATGCGCGTGAAAGTTTCTTCGGTTTACATTCTATACGCGTGCTCACAGAATAGACCAAACTGAACTAGGCAAATTGCATCCCCATATCGTTATCCGTTTATTCTTAACCCGTAGAGCACGCTATTTGCTTTAGAGCCTGCGGGGTTTCAGGATTTTAACGGATCACGGTTACTATTCATTTTAAGCCAATGGTTCATTATCACGAGAGAAGGCACGCGGCAGAGCGATGCGAATACCTTCATTTTATTTATCAGTGTATATTTCTCGACGCCATGCGCGTGTAGAGAAGACCTAACAATGCACGCGCACAACGCCAACGGCGTTTGAATTCCTGATGGATGCGATAATAAAATAATATTATATATATCTCTCTCTATCTATTTTACGACGCGCGCGGTGTTTCTCAGCGCAATCGAAATGAGTTGATGCGGAAGCAGCAGCAGTAGCAGCAGCAACAACAACAGCAGCAGCAGTAGCAGCAGCAACAGCAGCAGCAGCAGCAGCAGCAACAGTAGCAGCAGCAGCAGAAGAAGAAGAAGAAGAAGAAACAGCGGCAGTAACAGCAGCAGCAGCAGCAGCAGTATTAGTAGTAGTAGTAGTTGTAGTAGTAGTAGTAGTAGTAGTAGTATAGTAGTGGGAGTAGCAGTAGCAGCAGCAGCAGCAGCACCACCACCACCACCACCAGCAGCAGCAGCAGCAGCAGCAGCAGCACCACCACCACCACCACCATCACTAGCAGCAACAGTAGAGGCAACAGTAGTAGTAGCAGCAGCACCACTAGCAGCAAGCATCGATGACAAGTTCTCGAGGGCTTCGCGAATTAGAAGTGACAGCGTTCCGGAGCGAATTACAGCCGGCTACGCCGACGCTAGTAATAGCCGCACCGGACACCCTAATGAAATCTCACCGGTGCTCGTAAACTCGTGTTTCGCCGACGTAAACCTATAATCCGTGCCGCCGCGAGGCCGCGAAGTGACGACTTGTCGCAAATCGTCATTGACGTCGTCTCACGTAGCGGCGACGTTTTCCATCGCGTCGTACGATAGAAATAAAGAAAAGCACACGAGCGTTGATGATGTAAGAGTGTGATGTGATGTTCGGTTACGGCGATTTATTGCGCAATTTGTTATCCAATTTATTGCGCGGCGTGTACACTCATGTTGGGGTAATGCGAGTTGTGAGCACTGAACCATAACAATATTGTTATAGTTTAGTGGTTGTGAGGCGTGATCTGCCTTAAAGACGCTGCGTCGTCCGGTGGCTCTCCTTCAGCCGAGAATGTTGCGCCACCTACCGGTTAGATGGGTTCCTATTCGCTTTAACAGCACCGCGGAGTTTGTGTCTGAGTCGGATGAACATCAGACACATCCAAGCGTTAGGGTCAGTTAGGGTCCCTATATACAGAGAGTTGCGCCATGACGAGTCGGAAAACTATCGGTCACGTGGTCGCTGGACGACGTGTTGTTTCCAAAAGTGTACAATTAAATTATCATATGGCGCAAACAATTTGAGTTACATTTCTAGAAATCTAGATACACATAGACACATGTCTTAGCTATAATCTCTGTAAATTTTGAGTTTATTGAAGCACGATTAGTCTAATTAATTACTACGGAATATTGTACAGCGTATCCATACAGCGCTGTACTTAAGCGGCAGCGGTGTGGATCCATTTGGAAACAACATGGCGTCAAATCCTGAGTTGGCGCAACTCTCTGTATACAGGGACCCTAGGGTCAGTGTTGGAGTCTGGTTTAGGATTAGGGTTAGGGTTAAGATCAATGTTACGGTTATAGCGATAGAGTTAGGGTAATCGAGTAAATGATAGTGTTAAGGTTACAGATAGAGTTAGTGTTAGTGTTATGGTTAGGGTTATGGCTAGAGTTGGGGTGAGGGTTAGCGTTAGGGTTATGGTTAGAGTAAGGGTTAGAGTTAGAGCTAGGATTACAGTTAGGGTTATGATTAGCGTTAGGCTTAGGGTTAGGGTTAGGATTAAAGTTAGGGTGAGGATTAAGAAGTTACTGTCACGCAGCGTATCATACCAACGCGTCAATATAATCTATGTGATGCACTAGGCTTTGTACAATATCACAGCGAGCTCTACTGAGAGCTAACTGTATTATTTGCTACCGATCACATTCTTAGAATACTCATTATAGACGGGAGCTCTTGTCTGTCTACCGTCTATGCTGCTCTGGATGATAGAAAAAATCTGAGATGAAATTATTCGCGCGTTAAATATATAATGTGAATAAATGTAATGTAATGTAATATATTTTATATAATATAAATTAGCTATAAATAATAATAAGCTAGCGTGTTTATGCTCTCTATAAGTGACGCCGGAGAAATTGCAGAAGCGGGCCAATGATGTTGTCGCTGTCAGAACGCTTGCTCGCAGAGGTTTTATCCAGCAAGTGAAGCGCCTCACGTTCTTCGCATATCTGATCAAACGAATTTCAACGAAACACGAGCAACGTCACCCGAATGGTGACGTCAGATTGAGTCCAGTGCGTTGATTACGTCAGTAACGATGACGTCATTGCAGCTCAACCACGTGGTGGCCGAGAGACGGACCTGGGCAACGCCCTCAAGTGGCTCCTCGCTGCGGACATTGACGGCGACAACCAGAGTGAGGGCGATTCGCTAGAGGTGGCGCCACAGTCGTTCGGCGGGGGCGGAGCAGCGTTTCGCGACGAGAGAAACGTATGTTTCCATCGCTGCTTTGGACAGCGCAAGCTTACGGCCTTACAATGCTTCGGGATGTGCCGGTAAGCAAGCCAGCGCACTGTACAGCCAACCGTCCACACACACACACACACACACACACACACACACACACACACACACACACACACACACACACACACACAACACACACCACACACACACACACACACACACACACGCACACGCACACGCACACGCACACGCACACACACACACACACACACACACACACACACACACACACACACACACACACACACATACAAACACACACTAGTACGCCAGAATATAATAACCTGATAAGCAGGCGACTGAATAGTTGATTTTGTTCACAATCTTTATCTTGATGACGTGGCAGCTAGGAGCTTTCTACCATAATTATAATTTATATTAATAACTATATATATTTGCTCGTATTATGGTTAAAATTAGGTGCGTGTAATATATATATATATATATATATATCTATATAATTATATTATCGCATTTAATTGTTTGTTTGCAGTTAAAGTACCCGAAATATACAGAAAAATATACGCAGATGCACAGTCTCCGATGCCAACAGAGAATGACGCAGAGGATTGTGGGAAATAGACCGCAATTCTTCTCGCCGCAATCAAAAGCGGTTTCTAATCCTACGTTCAAAGAAAAGATTTTCTTTCGGTCATTCCTGTGTTGTAATTCTTGCGGTGGATCAGGGCGTAGACTGGCCGCCGTACGTTTATCCTATAGTATACGATCTTAGTGATATTATTTGTATACTTTCCAGTATCAGTATTCATCCTTTAATTAATCCATTAAGAGTTGAGTAGGTTTTTTACATGTATAATTGCCCATAGGTGGCCGGGGCGGTGTAGGGCTGATAATCTATTTTGCATTCATATTTTCGTCACTTCTGGTCTGAAGCAGTGTAACCTTCCAATTGTAACTGGAATCAGTGTGAATGTAAGGGATTTCGCGTGAATGCGAAAGGGAATGCCATTTCAAAATCTTTATGACGCGCCATCCCTGGCGGTGCGATTACACGAAGAAAGAAAAATGAATCAAATTATAACCGTAGGAAGGCGGTTAAACGATTTAGTTTACTAAAGACCTTCTGTAGCGACTATTGAAAAACGCATTCACATGGCAGTTTCATAAAAGTAAGGCGGCGTTTAATTTTAGGTCGTTAACTCGTCTGTTTATTAAATATGTCTTTAGAATCGATGACGGAATTCGTCAAAACGTGCGCAGTGGCAGTTTATACCTGCTTCGTGTTAAATTTATAGTGTCAGAAAAATAGTTTTGTATACGTAATTTAGCATTATAGTCGCTACTATGAGGATATGATCAAACGGCAGTGTGTGTATATGCATATGATGCACAGCGCGGCAGTATAACCTGGCCTTGTGTTAGCTTTGCAATCAATTGTTGAGGTTAGAGTATCGCGCGAGATGATCTCATGTGATGCAAGATGAGTATATATCGTGTGTGAACATATCTTTAGGGTAAGATGAATTCAGTTTTCGCGTTGACCGATATTCAATATGGACAACAAGCAATATTGATTATAATTTTTCATTAAAGTTTATTAAAATCACTGAATTCGTAATTACATGTCGTTTTTGTATTCTTCGAATCGTCACGATTTAGTACTATAACTATAGATACTTTAATAATTATACCGTTTCATGTGAACCATGATATTGTGATAAACATTGGCTTATTAACTTAGGACATGACATGACACTAGTCAAATGTTTACATTAAAATTTTAACGCAATGACGCAAACGCACCTATACTACGTTACGCACTGTATGAATACGCGCATCTTCGTTGCACTACATCGCTGCTAATATTGTATAAGTGCAAAGGTTTTGCTGATAATTGCACAGGCTTGGCTAGCCTTTAATGACAAAAACAGCCAATACAAAGAAAACAAGGAGAATGGGGCTCAAAGTATGCAGCATCAAATGTCCGCCCTAATGTCCGTGCACAATAAACCATTATTATAGATGCGACGCGTTTTCATGTTTGAAAGATCTTGTTCGTTGTACGCGATAATATGAAGAGTAGGAATCGATGCGTCCATGTGCGATTATTCTAATTACTCAAAGGGAGAAACTATAATAATTTATCATCATCCATCAAAGGCTTGCGGGCAATTATACTACACGGAGAAATAATAGAGAGACCGAATTCTCGCTCGGTGAGACAGAGTCACAGAACCTTACATCGAATGATTAATTAAACATTCTGGTGACATTATTAGCCGTGGCTGTATGATAGAAAGTGGAGCGTCCTCTTTAATATCATCATGATAATTGCTCAGGTCACACGCATTTATGATGACGCGTACGTCGTACGAATGCGCGCGTCAGCACTTACTGCTAGTGACGTCATTGCTGACAGGCGGTGGGCATATGTTGTGGGCGGCGGTTCATAACAGATGACATCCGGATCCGACTTACTGAATCTAGCTGTATTACGGTGTTTCCCTTGCGCGGCCATACATACCAAACAATGCTGATAAATCATGTGAATTTCGATGCTTGCAAGTAACACCATATGTTGTTAACTCAAACAAATATTGCTTTTTCCGGCACATACGTTGAAACGGCTACTTTGCAACGCAATTGACGCTAAATTGTTGGCCCCTCAATTACAGATCGCCCGACCCACACACTTCTCGATAACCTAAAGCCGCACACACGCGCGCACACACTCACAGCACAAACGCCGCGCGCCTGGCGCTCAACACACACACATACCGCACACACACACACACACACCACACACCACACACCACGCGCGCGCGCACCACGCACACGCACACGCACACGCACACGCCACACGCACACGCTGCGCGACACGCGCACCGCGCACACACACACACACACACACACCTGTAAATGCACGCCTGGCGCGCGCGCACGCACGCATCGCAGACGCCACACAACCGACACACATTTAATTACGTAAACCAATTCAAAATCAGCGAAGTCTCTCATCTCTCTCTCTGTCTCTCTCTCTCTCAAATATATATATATATATAATATATATATATATATATATTAATAAGTATATATTATATACACGATCGACAACTTCTAGCTCACCAAGACACGAAGGACACATGAGATTGGATTATAAACGTATGTCTTTATTACTATAGGGTATATTATCGATCAGATATTGTATCGATGATCCGGTCAATCATCTGCGGTGACGTCCACCGATAAATAAATCAATAAGAACACAAAAAGCGCATAATTATATAGTAACATTTGTAAACATACAAAATACTTCTAATCTAAAATAGAGACTTTTCGACTGTGTACATAATTACAGTAGCTTAGTGTCACAGATCAAAGCGCCTGTATTACAAAGGTCTCTCAAACTCTTCACTGTTGCAGAATTTAACAGCAATATGTTGCTAAGCGTATTTCCAAATAAGATTTTCCTAATTAACTTCTTTATGGGCGAAATAAAAACTAGCCTAAAATCGTAGCAGTTTATGGGGATGATTAAAACGGGACAAATGTTTTTAGTAAATGAAAGATTTTCCACGATATATATACTCCATGTGGATTTTACGTTCGTTAAGTGTCAACTGTTAACTTTGAAGTCACTGCAGCCACATGTGGATATTAATGCGGAACCGCCTTAAATTATATTTGATCCATTCTATCGCATTTCCATTTCATTTCTATTACTTATATTTAACTCAGACAGAAGAGATTTCATTGTTCGTTTCATCACCGAGAGACATCTGCTTAAAATTCTTAACAGGTAGTTGTTAGAATTAATGTTTCTATTTAACTAGTCTCTGTAACACCTTTATACAGCTTATCTGTCAAAGGTAAAGCCCATGAAGAATTGCTCATTCTAATGCTATTACTCACGCTATGGCGTTTCATGTAACAATCGTTCTTTACAAAATCTACAACAGTGCATTTTACTCAAGAGAAATCAAGACAGCTTTCTACTCCTTAGTTGTACGATATCTGAGACATTTAGTGGTCATACTATGATTCCACTCCGTATATAATCATGCACTGAAGTTAGTGCACAACGATATGATATTAGTGTAATGTAATAGTACTACGTTCATGCGTGTTCCTTTACCCACGCCACCCCCTCACACGGGACTACTCGTCTATGAAAATGCCGCGAAAAATACTTACAATAAACGACAGATTGCCCGAAAAAACGGGGAAGTTTTTGTAAGTTATTTGATCGGTTATGTTACAAATCGCAGCCATATACCGCATCTACAAATTAAGCATGTTTCACTGGCGCAAACAAACATTTTTCGCGTTTAATATCGACCAATATAATTTACTACCTGCGACTGCATGGCCCTCTTCATGCCAAATAGTACTCATTAATATCAACGAAGACAGGATATATCTATATGCCTATATAGGCAATAAACTCACGAAACAAAAAATATCAACAAGCAAATCAACTGGAAAATTTCGATTCCGATCGTAGTACATGTTAGTGGCCGCAGAGAGCTGCCGATTCTCTTAGTACAAAACAGTCATATACAAATGTACACAATAGAGCTACAATGTGTCGCCCGGTGCGCGCGCACGAGTGTCACATTGTGTCACATTGACAATAAACGTCGTCACCTATATACGCGCGGCATCGTATTGACAGAATGAATAAATATGTGGGATCACATGTATATTATATATAATTAAAAGTATCCTCCTCGCTACCCCTCACTACGTCCTCTCTCGGTTCCAATCTCAAAAACACACGATAGTGATCGCCAGTGACAGGAATCTAGAACATTAACAATTACCTTAAAAGCTCAACGCTCATGCTGTTTATATACACTGCGGGCGCACGCCCCTACCCAACAGCTACCCACTTATATCGCATACACGGTATTTATAGTGCCAACCTATCTCAATACTTGTAGTCATCCCGCGGATCTCTTGACTCTGAATCATCCGAGTACTGCTTACATGTACGGACGTAGCGGAATCACGATAAGCTGTTCATAAAGCGCCGATTGAAATGCGCGGGAAAATGTCATCAATTCACCATCTATTGATTTGCCGACGATGACGTATTGTAGACGTGAATATGGGGGCAAATTTCGTACGCCCATTCCTCACGTATTTTGTATAATTATATATTGTGTAGGGCTTTGTTTGTCCGCTGATTATCAGAAACACGCGGGTGCACTGAGAAGCTAACAGTGCACATATCTGTGACGGGAAGACATGGCGTATTATGCATGCACGTATTATGAACTAGCAATATTTAGACATACCAATTCCTGTTATATATGCACTCGTCATATTAACGTGTTGCTTAAGATAGTTGTCTTACACGATTGCCACTGGTTTGTCAGTGAGGGCAATCAGCTAACGAAACGACACGAGTGAAACACAAAGAATATTGCAGTAGTTCGTGACATAAGGTACAATTCACAAAATCAGAATATTAAGGCAGTGTCGCGCCTAGACGCAGCCACACCACGTACGAAGAGGTAAGTTATAGTCTTAGAACGTCAAATTCACTCCCTAACTATCATCTCCAGTAATATCTCGAACGATCGTGGCGCCTCCTCTACTCGGCACCGCAGCGCCACGTAGCGGCCGCGTTCAGCAGCGCCACCTATCGGCCGCGTTCTTCGCAGGGCAGCGCGTCATCAGTTCGTGCAGTCCTGGCAGCCGCATTTCCTGATGACCTGCAGACGCTTCGTGTAGCGCGTGCCGTTAGTGCACGCCATGCGCACACGCCGTAGCTTCGACTTGACCGGCTTGCAGCAGCCGTTGCCGCATGATCCCTTACACTCGGCTAACTTCACCTTCTTCGTCGACTTGCAGTCGTTCTCCTGGTGATACTGCTTCACTTGATCTTTGTGGCACGTCGGCCCTGAAACGTGAGGCGAGTAGAGAACAGTTACAAACAAAAAATTCAGCGCAAGACGAGTAAAGAACGATCACAAACAAGAATGAATCATAAGACGAGAAAAGAAAACAACATAAACAAACGGAAAACAAATAGATAACAAACAAACATGAGCAATATAACTGAAAACAAATTTGGTGCGCGATCCCATGTTCCAAGGTCGTACACCGTGTTATAAATGACGTATACTTGTGAAACTATCATATCGGCACGTGTACCACAGACTGTCATGTGCTAGAACATTGATAGCTACACATTTTCCCTCACAGCGTCCTTTTATGGAACTGTGGAATTACCATTCTTATAAAAACAAGCCTCATGTGACAGAACACTAGGTTTTGTCTTCACACCACGGTGAATAACAGTTAAACCAGCCGCTAGAAATAACATTGGCGCATTTAATGATGGCGCTTGTTCTCGAAAATAGCATCCTAATATAGTAAATGATCCGATTGAGTTTAGCCGTGTAGGTAACCACTTACAAAAGCATCGCCTTATTGCCTTATATAATATCATAAATTCCCTCATTAAACCAACATTTTTGCAAAATAATAAATATAACATAATTATTAATAAATATTATAATAATCTATTAAATATAAGAACAATATTATGAAATGTAATAAAATAACGATGATTTACAGTGATATAGATAATGCTAACTAACGGCCTACCTATGTCGCAGAACTTTCCGCCGTAGCCACGCTTGCACTTGCACGTATACTCCATGTTGTCGCCCGACACGACGCACGTGCCGCCATTGCTGCACTTGTTTCGCTCGCAGGGGCCGCCACCGTCGTGCAGCGGACATCCGGGAGCCATGAGATGCTGGTTGGTGGCCTTGAGAAAGTCTCTCGGCTCTCCGTTGATAAAGACGCGCTTCACGCAGCCTGTAAACGATGTATAGTGATAGACACTTGAGATCTACGACTATTAAAATATGATGACATCCTTCTCTGTGACTCACCATGATTCTGTGATGTATGCGATGCATGCATGGTCACACGCACGCACACATACGCACGCACGTACACGCTCGTATGCGCATACACATGCCCGCACTCGCACTCACGCACGCACACACGCACGCACGCACGTGACACAAACATCATTCATCCCGTACACCCGTATATCCGTACACATTATGCGTACCCCTTAATACGTGATCGTATTTTTTGCGCGTACGACAATGCTTGTTTAGAATACTTGTGATAATGATGGGACGTACGATGAGTGGAGGGGGCAATTGGTATGTCTTCTCGGCGAATAACAGAACAGATATTTGTTTATTTATAATAACACTGACGGTGTCACGCGTGCGATGTTGCGATACGGCATCAGCTGGTGTATAACAACGTACGTTCGTTTGTTAGCAGATTCATGGTGACATTATGTATACATCGAGGGTGTGATGTTCGAATTTTGCTCTTCACCGAGTGTTAAAGGAAGGAGATCGGATTAACAGAAGCGTGTGCACGCAACACCACGCCGCATCTAGTATTCAGGTACGCCTCGTGAGCAGTTACGCCTTGTAGCAAGTGCACGCGCTATACCACGTTCGCGTGTGTTATCTACATATAGGATATATCAAGAGCGTATTAAGTATGCATACTTAATACATATACATACTTATATACATACTTAATACGCTCTTGGGTATATATGTGTGTGTGCGTGCGTGCGTGCGTGTGTGTGTGTGTGTGTGCGTGCGTATATATGCCCACTAGCGTGGCGTATGTGCGCAACTACCTTGACAACGCCTATACTATCGGTGAATGGCGATGCGAATCGGGCACATCACACGTGTTCGTAGATTGCTGAAAAGCTAGAAGCCGTTGTCGGTACGATGGTGAGTCGTAGGACTATTTCTAGCTCTAAATATCAAATGAACCCTTATCGAAAATATTGCCCGACATCGCGAAAACCGATAAAAAGTTGTTATCGTTAATACCGTTCTGAAGTTTTGTCCTAACTTTACGATCGCTTTAACAACGTCTCAACCCCCTTGTAGTGCATGCGTGTTTATTTCCTCTTCTTTCCTAACGCCGGAGAACCCCAGTACCTCGTGTCGTTTGTCAAAAGGTTAAAAGGTTTAGTAAAAATTCGTTCGAGTTATGTTCTACTCCCTCACCGTTCCAAGTAGCGTATACAAGCACCCTTCTGGCGCCACCTACCATGAAAGCTCGAGCCGTTGCGTATGTGCCACTGACTGAGAGCGCGCGCCTGCGCAGACTCCGGCAGACCGCCGAAGAACAGCGGTGTACTGATCTCGGCGTAGTCTCGTTCTCCTTCGTTCATGATCGTACGCGCCTGGCCGCCATCGATGCGCAATGTGAAGTTCTTGCCGTTCGATATCAGCTCCACCGTGTGGTACTTGCCGTCACTAACCTGTGTGAGGCAGAGAGGATAAAGCTGGGTTTACACTACCGACTTTGTGTTGGCGAATTGGCAAATTGAACCAACTTCCCAACTATACAACCGACAATCTGCAGTGTAAACGCAAAAGTTGCGCGAGCAACCGATCGATAGCAACTAGTTGGGAGATTAGAACATGTTCTATTTTCGCCAACTCGGAGTTGAATTTAACATGCACGCATTGTCATTGTAGATGTAGTAGTGAATGAGGGGTGTGTGTGGAAGCTATAGGGTGTAGTTACACTGTGTCCGTATCTAGATATAGAACTTAACGCGCACACGCGCGCGCACACGCCCGGATATGGCAAGCCATTTGTATCATAATTCGAGAAACCACGGTTCCTCGCACGAAACCAGGTTTCGTGCTCACAAAACCTAGTTTCTTGCTCGAGAAACCACGGTTCTTGCCATGAAACTAGGTTTCGTGGCACGAAACCTGGTTTCGTGCGAGGAACCGTGGTTTC